GCAGTCATTAGAGTCAAATGTACGTCTCTTACTCAGATTCACAAAATAAAATCTAGGCTTTTTAAGTGTCCTGACAGCGCCTTCAATACCAGTCATTTCTACACCTGAGGTAACATGACCACACCTGAGTTAAGGATTTTAGCTAGAGCTAAAAATAGTTTGCAGGGCTGTGAAATAGAAGAGAGATGTTACCAGGAAGGCCTAACAGACAGCAGCATTGCAGAAGAAAAGATAAGTTGAATAGTGGACATCAAGACCTTTTAAAAAGGAGAGAGGGCCATTAACACCTGTGGGGTGGAGAGAGATTAGCAGGAATCAGGGAGCTGATAATGAGCCATGAAATCAGTTGACTCTCTCAGCACCGCCTGAGTAGAAATGCTGCAGCCCCTTCCAGGCAGTTGGTTTTAAGGTTTGGATGGAGCAAGAATCAGAGCTGCACCACTGCACCCCCTTGAATCCACCCCTGCCGCAGTGTGCTGGTACCAACTGGTGAAACGGGATCTTGGACGCTCTCTGCTGGCAAGATCTCATGGGAAAAGGAGAGCAGCACGCTGTGGTAAGAGAGGACTTGGTGTTTCTGTTCAGCCACCAGAGAAGGGCTGGCTTCTGTTTGCAAGGAGGGTGCAAGGGACTGGGTGGAGTTGGATGTACCCAGAGGCCCTTTGCAGAAGGTTTTGTTGTTGCAAAAAAAAAAAGGGAAACGTAAGAAACATTCTGCCTCTTCCATGGTCATGCACATCCTGGCTGGTAGGCCAGGGAAATCCAAGCCAGGCAACAATGGTCTTTGGAGAGAAAACTCCCTTCTTCCCTCCCAGGCTCTGCATGGGACCTACCAGCAGCACCCCAGGGCTAACCAACTACTTGCCACTTAGATGTTACAATGGTCTTAACCCAGCCTTCCCCATATGTTCCTGCACAATCACATGGCACCAAAATGGCAAAGAGGCAATAAGCAGGAACCCCTTTTCACTGCACCATTAAAGCAGCCACAGAGCAGTGGATACACAGCGAGGAATTTCCTGCTGTTGCTGAAGCAGAGGCAAAACCGTAAGTCCCTGCCACCTACCAAACTACGGTAAAATCAGATGAAGCCACGCCTGCTAGGACCTCTCCATTTTCTACTGATGGGCATACAAACTCACCAGCAGGATCATCCTATGGCACAGGGAAACTTTTGGAGGATGGGCTTAATTATTTTCACAGAAGCTGGAAAAGTTTTGTTTACACCTACCAAGAAGCACAATTTTTTGCTCCCTTGCTTTCCTGCCAGCTCGTGTTGTTGTCAAACTGCTGCTGGGTCTCGAAGGGGGCCAGGTGCAGCAGGGAAGTCACTTTCTAAATGCCCTGAAATCCTCCCCTCGGTAAGAAGTGTGCCAGCTGCCCTGGGGCATGGCTGCACAGTAGTGCGCCTGTTACACAGTGGCTGCACAGCTGCACGGTGCTGTGCCCACTGTGAGCCCACTGCGACCAGCCCAAGGGGCTGAAGGGTAGTTCTGTGCTGTTAGCATGGAGCACAGCCATAAGCCAGCATTGCATCTGCAGCTGGGGCACTTGTACACATGACGATTTCCCCACATACATGTGACGAAAATCACCATTTGGCTAGCAAAATGGTGTCACCATGTACACGTGGTTGTTCTGTGCCTGGTGCTACCTGAGGAAACTGTGGGGTGACGGCGATGCGGGAGGGGACTTCTTTTCTGTAAGGCGCTAAGAGCCAGATTTGGAGCTGGGTAGGCCTGGCCTAGCTCTGTCTGAGCCCAGGAGTCACCATGGAGCAAGAAAGATCAGAGCTCGGCCCTGAGTCGGGTTTCTTTTTACTCCTCACAGATACTACAACCTGCCTGTCCCTCCTTTCCGGCTGGAAGAAAAGAAGGGAGCTCGTTCATATTCAGAAGGCTACTCCAGTACCTGCATTACCCTTAAAAGGAAAGCATCGGCTCTTAGAAAGACAACATAATTTCACACCTATAACGTATTCCTGCAATAAATCCAAACACAGTTAAAATTAGATTAGCTTTCTCCGTTGAGATGTCAGATTCCTGCAGCAGATGCTGGTAGACATAGTGAAAAGAAACTGAGAAAGTGACAATGTGGGTAAAATATTGGAACAAGCATCCTGACAGGGGATGATGGGATAGATTACCACCAGGAGTGGTGAAACCCTGTTGGATTGGGATATTCCATACCAAATCAGTAAGGTCACAGGTGCTATTCACCCAGCTTTGCCAAGGCAAAGGCCTTTTCCACTTCCCTGTTTCTGTGATTCACAAAATGCCATTTACTATTTCTCAAGCTCACAGAGACTTTTGTGCTCAAGCACACAAGGCCATTTCATTGTCAACGTGGGTCATAGCTGTCAGGAAAAATCAGCATTGCTGGGCTGTGAGCCAGTATTTATGGGGTCAGAGAGCATTTGTCTCTGTGTGAATGCTGGGGACTTTGTCCTACTGCTTGCGCATGCACCTCCAGAGCTTTCCCAAGGCCCCCTCTGATAGCTCCCCCCAGCATGGGCCTAGGGGTGGCCCTGCTCAGATAGAAGCACAGCTGCATTGTTGATAGTGGTGTCCATTCTCAGGGTCATTTTCTGGCCATGGTGCAGGGCAGGGCAAGAGGGCTGTTTCAGGGGTGGGTGAGTCTGCCAACGCACCCGTCACGGCATTCTGCAGCTGGACACTCACTGCACCCTCACTTGGCCTGCTCTTGGGGTGCATCCTCCCTTCCCTGTAAGCTGTCTGGCTCCCTGGGCCTAGCACTGGCCCCCAGGCAGGCTCAGCACCCCTTCTCCCAGGATGCCAGCCATGTAGGGGCATGTTCAGAGGCTGCAGTTTGTTTCTGCAGGAGCCTTGATGCATGCAAGCAGACAGGCAGAGGAATGCTTTGCACGCTGATGTTGAGCCCACCATTGCTGCTGACTTAACTGCATGGGGCAATTATAGATCTAGACACAATTAAGACACTCAACGTGCATTTCCCTGCCTCATCTCTCCTTGGGCTGGGTCAGGGTCCTCGAGATGGGGTGTTGAGGGGGGGGACCTTCATTGCTGCTCATGGTTTCATCTTGAACCTGAATTCTTCTGCTCTGCCCTTAGCAAGTCCTAAGCTAGGAAGCATGGGCCTCTTTGTCTTCCTCCTGTCCCACACCCTGCACTGGAGAGAGGTTTCCCTCTGGATCAGGCCCTTTCCAGGCCCTGGTTGCTTTGTTCTGCCTCTGATGACTTCCCCCTGCTCCAGCCACAGCCTCTACAGGCAGAACAGAAGCATCTGGTTCTCCTGAGCAGAAGCCTGCTTTGGTCCCAAGCTGCTTTCCCCTTAGCATTTAAAAGATTTTAACAGATTTAAAAGCATTTAAGATTTAAAAAAAACCTGGTATTGTTCTGATGGTGGGGGGAGGGAGGGAGATAAGGAAACATGACAGAAGTCTTGTCTACTCAGGTGGATGTACAGCAGGTTTTCTAGCTGCAGAGCTCCCCTTGGGAATCCACATGTCCTATGTAGGTTCCCTGTCTTGTCACAGCACCACATCAGCTTGTTGGTCTCCAAACAATAACTGCTTCTTATCCCTGAGACGCCATACCTCTAAGGGCAACATGCTTGCCTTGGTCTTTGACGGTGCATCTACACATGCGCTCTAATGCATATTAACCTATTTGAATGTGCATTAAAGTGCCACAAAAACCTGTGCTTTCTAGCTAATGTGCATTAAAATAGGCTGATGCAAATTTTTCTAGTGCTTCACAATGGAGGTACTAGATTTAATGCATATTACCTAAAGCACATTGAATGTGTAGATGCCCCCTGCTGTGTGCTACTGAACCTCCCCAGGTCAGCTGATACGTTTCCTGCTTGTGCTGGAGCTGTGGAGAGAGGCTGTAGCGATGGGTTTTTAAAACAAAACCAAACTCCAAATTGCTCATTTGCAACAGAAGGTCTTTGCTCCTGGCAGAACTTTCTGAACATAAACAGTAATGGTTGGGAGAAGCCGTCGTGGTAATGACTTGCCAGCCCCCCCTTGGACCTCACGGGATAAACAGGGCAGTAAAACAGACAGATTGAGCCTGTATGAGCTCTTGACATTCTTCCTGGGATGCTCATATTCAAGTGATAGCTTCTACTTAATAAACCGACCCACCTGTTAATATTAAGAAGATCAGACAACCGTGGCTATTAGGATAAACATCAAGAGCATCTTATAACCATCTGAGATGAGGCCTGCATTTTGAAGTCATCGTCTAGCTTAGATGGGATTTTGCCCATGTGCTGAGGTTGTTTACCCATGGCGCACACGGCCTCACATACTAACCACGTTGTAGAGACCCAAGACAGTGGAGGGGCCCCTGGTCCCCCTTGTTCCTTTCCCATGTCTCATTGTACTGTGGGTTTCTGCACTGGAGATCTAGCCTATTACAGGTGCTAGCAGGGGCTTTGGGGCCTGGTATATGTAGGAGGGGCTAGAGCAGGTGCTTATGTGGACCCTTTTATACTAAATAACTAGTCCCTGATTGCATGTGAGTACAAAAGACAGAACTTAAGGACCCAGCCAGTCCTGTCCAGTCTGATGGTTCCCCCAGAGCTCTGACTACCTGTTGGGACTAGCAGCAAACACATTCAATCCCTATGAAAGGACCAAAAAATACACCAAGGAAATGTCCTGAATGTTTTTTTCTTCTTGTAACATGCAAAACAGACTTCCATTTTACCACTGAGATTTGTCATAGCTCCTCATGTAGCTTAATTGCTTTGGTGTCTTGAAAAATAAGTTGGCCAAGATCTGGAACTTTTAATGAGGACTTTTGGCATATATTCAGGCCTCCAAATGTGTAATTATGTGCTAGACCTGAACAGAACTTTCAGAGTCAATATGGTCTACAAAGGAAGTGATGCATCTTTTTTAAAACTATGTAATTAAATATTGACGTGATAGATGATAACTGCTCTCATGCAGCTATTACATTCTACTGGGGAAGTAATATGCATTTTTTAAAATGTGTTAAATACAGATTTATGATGGGCCACGCAGCTGTGAACAGTGAATAACCAGGACTGGATTCCCACATCACTTGCATTGGAGAACAGCTACTTGCCATGGAAACATGCTTATATTATTTCCCTTCTTTTCAGCCCATCATTTGTTTGTCTTATCCCCTGGTGCATCTGATCCCTGGCCAAGAATGTAAGTTATCTGCAAAGGGGCTGTTTTTATTAGTGTTATAAAGCAAGCCTGGTCCCTTTTTGTGGCCTCTGATCACTACAGCCAAATAAATAGCAATTGTCAAAGAATTTACACCTATGCTATTTTTCACCCATGCATTGCAAAACACGAGACTGATGTTGTGAGAGAGGGAATTATTGATTGTTGAGCTATTGCTTATTTAATAGTTCACTGTTTGTACAGTAATTTGATAAATGCACATAAACCTGAAGAAAGAGAGCATGGTTGCCAGAGTATTTGGAGCCCACCATGGCCAGTGCCAAAACCTCTATATCTCTGAGTCTTGAAGGTGAGTCTCCATTAGCTCTCTCCCCAGCAGTCTGACTTATACCTCTTTTGTGCATTAGTCACTAAAGTGCAATGGAGTCATGTGCATACTGCAATCATAGACGCTTTAAAGAGAAAAAAAACCCCTCTTAGCTGATGCTCGCTCATCTCTCTGCTCGTGCAGGGACCCAGCAGAAGGATTCAGGTGAGGAAGGCAAGCAGGATTCAGTCCTTAGCCAGTGCATTAAAGAAGAGAGGTACAGAGAGTTTCTAATGTCCTCAGATGCACCTGGCATGACTATCGCACAGCTGGGAGCAGACCCTGTGAGTCCCAACTTCCAGTCCCCTGCACTATTTGCGAATACTTTATACCTCAGCAAAATAGAAATGCAAAACCACCCTGTGTGTCAAAGACCTTGGCTTGATATGGGTACCATTGTGTAGAGGGTTATAAAGGGAATCTTACCCTTTACCCTGAATGCTCTGTTTTGTCTAAGTTTCAAGGTGATGCGTAATGCCATTTTGATGGGCTTTTTAAGTTTCTCACCAAGTTTCTGATAACTCCCTTAGGTTATCTAGGCAAATGGGTTAGCTTTGTTCCTTCAAAGGCACAATAAGGAATGAAGATCAGCATCGCCTGAGGCTTTTCTGGACAAAGCCATTATGACTTTGTTCTGCATTGAGAGGCAGTTTGCTGCGTTAGTCTGAAGTCAGGCAGGGTAGATTTGCACCTTAAATCAGAGGCACATAGGCTTTCATAAACAACAGTTTGCTTCATCAGATACTGGTCACGTCTACATGTGCATTTGATCTGGAATCAGTTTACTTGCAAGTAAACTACTCATGAGTAAACGCTCCCGGGCAGGCATCTACACATGCAGGGAAGCGGGAGCAGATTTGCTGCTAATGGCAGCAAACTGCTCCCGCTTCCTGGGGCCCTGCAATGGGTTCCCAGGGGCTGGGAGGGAGCACTGGGCTAGGACATTACCCTCCAGTCCCTCAAAGGGATTTCCAGCACCTGTGTGTGTGCAGGAACAGTGGTGCAATGGGTCTAGTGTGATCAGGGCCATTTGAAGTTATTTACCGCACTTCTGGGCCTTGCATCTCAGGGGGACTGTGTGCAATACACAACCACATTTACAACAATTGTGTCACATCACGTTCATTCACTGCTGTTGTCATATCACCAATCAGGGTTATTTATCAGGGTCTCATACAGGTGGGGAAGGGCACACGCCACTGACCCAAATTCACTGATCCATGAACCAATGGAGGTCCTTCCAGAAGTGTTAACCTGGTGCATGGGCTTTACTCAGGCACAGCCCCACACCACACACCATTCAACCATCCAACCACTGTACAAATATACAGCAATGCCACAGCTAGGACCGCAAGCCTGTTCCCATGCAAACCCCACAAATGTTCTGACATACCGTCTCGTTGTACAGCAAACTCCAGTTAAAAAATAACAGGGTTTAAAACAGCATCACAAACTATGATTGAAATTGGCAATCAGGACTCCAAATTAAATGGTATCATAGCAGTAGGAGGACATATTTTTATGATTTTATGATTTATGATTTTCATATTTATGCATCAGTAAAGACAAAATGATGTCTGGCTCAAGTTACAGAGACTGTATGCAAGGCATCGTTACATACTGCATGATGCTGATATGGAAATGAATCCATGAAAGACACATGCACAGGTTCGGCTGTAACTCTATGCATTGACATCCTTTTCCTGGGAAGTCTCTGAAATGCCCTGCAAACAGAGCTCAGCGCTGCGCACAGCAATACAGCAAGATGCTACACAGAGAGATGTGTCTTGTGCGCTGAAGCCCACAGGAGTGGAGGGTGCTCAGGAACTGACAGAATCAGGCCCAGGAACAGCAGCGAGCATCGGTGCTGCGTCTCAGGCTAGTCACGCAAGAGAGGTTTATATTTGGAAGTCCTGGTCATAAAAGAGGTCTTGCCATGACTCATCTGGAGATCAGGACCGCAGCTCCTCCAGCAGCAGCTCAGCTGCAAGGCTACAAGGAGATTTCCTGCCAAGGCCTGAAGTAGGAGGGACTGAGCTCTCTCCAAGCAGTAGCAAATTAAACACTTCTTGATTATCTGTGGATCCAGGTCCTCAGGGGTAGGGGCTGTCCCTTCTGTAATGTTCACAATAGAATAGAAAATGAGGGCTAGGAGGGACCTCAGGAGGTCACATCTAGTCCAACTCCCTGCTTCAAGCAGGACCAGCCCCACCTACATCATCCCAGCCCATGGGCTCAATCCTGTAAGGTGCTGAGTGCTCTGGCCACAGTCCAGCAAAGCCCAGGGGCTAAACACTGAGCACATCCTTAAGTGCTTTCCCAGCACTGCAGCTCTTGAAAGATCAAGTCCTATGAAGTGAAAACCTCATCAGTGGACCTCATCTCAGCTCATGATGGGGGCGTTGGATTAGATGACCTCCTTCCAACCCTAACTTGCTGTGACTTCCTATGATTCTCCGGCCCAGCACTGCAGGTGCTGATCTAATGACACAGGCAGGGAGGGAATTCATAGATTCATATAAGTCGGGTTGGAAGGGACCGAAGTAGATCATCAGGTCTGACTCCCCACCCTGGGCAGGAGAGAAAGCTGGGCTCATATGAACCCAGCTAGGTAATCATCAAGCTTCCTCTTAAATACCCCCAAGGAAGCAGCTAGCACCACTTCCCTTGGAAGTTGGTTCCAGATCCTAGCCACCCTGACTGTGAAACAGTGTCTTCTAATGTCCAGCCTGAACCTATTCTCAAACAACTTATGGCCGTTGTTCCTTGTTACTCCTGGTAGTGCTCGGGGAAACAGGGACTCCCACAATGCCTGCTGGTCCCCATTGGCCAGTTTATAGACGACCACCAGATCCCCCCTCAGCCTTCTCTTGTGGAGGCTGAACAGGTTCAGGTCCCGTCGCCTCTCCTCATAGGGCCTGCCCTGCTGCCCCCTGATCATGCGAGTAGCCTCCTCTGGACCCTCTCCATGTTGTCCACATCCTTCCTGAAATGCGGTGCCCGGCACTGGACACAGTACTCCAGCTGTGGCCTGACCAGTGTGAACTCCAAGATCTCTTTCTGCCACCGTGCTTTCAAGAAGGGAGTTCCTCAGCCTATAGGTCTGCTGCTGGTTCTTCCTGCCCAAGTGCAGCACCTTGCACTTGTCAGTATTGAATCCCATCCCATTCTCATTCGCCCACCCCTGTAACCTGTCCAGGTCCAGCTGTACCCTGTCCCTCCCTTCTAGCGTGCCCACCTCGCCCCAAATCTTGGTGTCGTCGGCGAATTTGAACAAGGTGCTTTTCACCCCCTCGTCCAAGTCGCTAATAAAGAGATTGAACAGTGCGGGTCCGAGGATTGAGCCCTGGGGGACTCCACTGCCCATATCCCTCCTGGTCAAATATGACCTGTCCACCACCACTCTCTTGGTGCGGCCCCTCAGCCAATTTGTGACCCATCTGACTGTGTAGGCATCAATGCCACAGTCGCCTAGCTTTTTAATAAGAATTGGGTGAGAGACAGTGTCAAAGGCCTTCCTAAAGTCCAGAAAGACTACGTCCACCGTGACACCTGCATCCAAGGATTTTGTAACCTGGTCATAGAAGGCCACCAGGTTGGTCTGACAGGACCTGCCCCTAATGAGCCCTGCAGGTTCACTCCAGGAGGCTTGAGAGTTCCCACAGGAGGGGGAAAGTGAAATCCAAACAGGAGGAGGAGGAAGCAAACTGGGGGAGAGGGAAGGGGCAGAGAACAGGAAAACAGCTGGGAAAGAAAAAAGAAAGGCTGGAAAGTGACTCCAGAAGGCAGAATGTAGCACGGCTGGGCAGAGAAGAGCCCGGCAGGTATGTAAGCCCAGGGTTGTTGGCCAGGAGTGGCCAGAGGGACAGGACTGTAATGAGAGCCTGCAGTTTGCAAGTAAATGGTTCCCTTGGTGCATGGTCATGGGGGGAAAATCAAAGATGAACAGGAGACGTTTGACCTTGAAATCTCAACCCAATGCAGCTGGTTAGCCATTTATTTGGTGTCAGACTGAACTTCAGCAGCTGCAAGTTGAAGTGAAGTTTCTATGACTACTGGTTTAAAAGGTATTTAACCAATTACTGAGTTTGAAAATGCTAATGTTAAAATGAATCTTGCTATGTAGCAATTGGATTCCAAATAGCTTACACGTCAGCTATTAAATACAAGCAAAGTCTAACATGGGAGTGCACTTATCTGTTTGTTTGAGGCAGCCAGAAAGCAGTTGAACGGCAAAAACATCTTCATTGTTACTCCACTATACTGATTCACTCTTCTAATAACCACAACTGAAATGACTGATATTTGAGATCAGAAATTGGCAGGGTTGAGAGAAAAATACTTGCTATCCACACATAGGTGAGCCCATTAATGTTCAGAAGCTGCTGTAATCTAGCAGTAACCATTTGCAAAGAATTAATGGTCTAGGGGTAATTTTATGGTCTGCTGCGCTTTTGATATGCATTCATAACTACAATGTTACTAAGGGTTAGGCATGAACAGGAAAATAGACCCAGTCATGTACAGCTTTGCTGAAGAAATCATGAGTCACAGTATGTGCATTGCCTCTCAGGAAGACACAGAAACCAGAGAATGAAAGACTTGTGGAGCGTGAACTAATGCATACCAGACCTTGTGTGGTGGGCCAGCAGGAGGCAGTCCTGCACTGAGCCACCCACCTCACTGCACCCGACCACCTACCAGGCTTCGAGTGCCTCCCTGGGGCACCTCATGTCCGGCCGACCCCCTTCCTGGAGCACACCCG